CTCAGCCCGGACCTGCTTCGCCGCCGGCCGCCCGGGGAACCTTAAGAGTGCAGCACCGACCCCAGTAACTCCCAATCACAGGCCGTGGCGTCAGGCACTTCCTCTTACGTCACGAGCCGCCGCCGCTTCCGGCGCCAGTACCTGGCGTCCGGGCTGCTCCGCGTTCCTGGCTCCGGGAGGGCCGCGTATCTGAAGGTGCCGAAGGGAGGGCCGGGTTGGAGGGGAACACGGGGTTGGAGGGTTAGCGGGATCCCCGCGAGGTGCCCGGATGTGGCGAAGGTGGGAATGAGGACGTGTTTCCGAGGCCAAGGCCCCTCTGGAGACCACCCCCCCAGCTCCGCCTATTGGAGGCGTCCAAGCCCCTTTTCCCGCCCAGCTAGAGGAAAAGCGAGGGAGTCGGGGGACAGGTGCTAAGCAAAAGGATTTGAATTTTGCCCAGCCCGCCTTGCGCGATGCTTGAGCATCGATCTGTGAACCAGGTTGGTTTCCGGTTGGGGAACATGCCGGGGTTGCGGGCTCCATCTTCAGTGGGGGGCGTGCCGGAGGCAGCCGATCAGTGAATGATTCTCGCACCACCTCCTGTGCGTCCAGACCAGGGATGGAACCGGAAACCTAGGCGTGTGCCCTGACTGGGAATCAACCCATAGCCTTTGGGTTCACGGGAGGACGCTCCAGCCAACGGAGCCACACTGGCCAGGGCAAGTGATTCTTTAAGATCTACCGAAGCGGAGTCACTGTAAGTCTTTAGAATAAGCCTCCTACTGCTTACCTGCCGGAAGTTCAGTATACCCTATCAATGTATCTGATTTTCACAGCATCCACTATTTGTTACAACTTGTAACACTGACGGAGAAACAATTTAGCCTGGAGTTGAAAGGAGAGGAAATTTTTATACCACACCCCCATCAACTAGTAATTTGTCAGTGTCTGCTTCTGGCTCAGGAACCTTGGCTGTATCTTCCAAAGGATGTCATTTCTTTCTTTTTTGATGGTTAATAGTTTTGGAACAGAAACAAAGAAGTCTGGATTGAGGAGTCCCTAAAAGTAGTGCTCTCCGAGTAGAACACTTCTCAAAAATTAATGCATAGCCCGCTTGCATCTACAATAACTGCATCTTTAACAGACTCGCTTGTATTTTTACCAAGTGCCCAAGGTGATTCTGATACACAGAACATTTGGAAACCTTTTGGACACATGTAGGGTGAAAAATTGTTCTAGTTTATCTGGGACTGGGGTTTTTTCCAGGATGCAGGGCTTTATAAATGCTAAAGCCAGGGCAGTCCTGGGCAAAGTGGTGATCATCCTAGATCCATGTGAGTGTGTACTATTAGAAAGATGATCTTGATGCAGTCTGGCATCCTGGGTTGCCTCATTTCTATTTGCAGGAGTTGTTTCTATTAGGGGTGGCTATGGAGAAGGGATGAAAGTGAGGTGCGTTGCCAATTCTTACTGATTCTCCAGTCCAAACCCATCCTTCACTGACCTGCTCGCAGTCCTGGAACATGTCTCCTTTTCCGTCCGGCGGGGTGTTCAGTTTCATCAGTAGAGGGCGCTGGAGGGACATAGAGGAGGAAAGGGCTCTTCCTGATTCCAGTGTGCGGTCTCAGCTGGCTTTGCAATGCCTGGTGGTTAGCCGTGTTTGGCAGCTCTCTGTGGGCTGAATTTCAGTGTTAGTTGAATTTAGAGCCTTGTTAAGTTTCTCTTCTGAGGTGAAGGCATTGACTGGGAAGGAATGGGATCCCAAAACTTGAAGCAGGCACTTCTGCTTGGGCCCGGATGAAAGTGACGACCTTGAACACCCAAGTCACCCTGAGCCTCCCTTGGTGGTGGAAGTAGCTTGCCCTTCTTTATCTGAGGACACTTGGAAACCCTGTGCAACCCTCACCTGGAGCAGATGACTTGAAAAATACAGACTTGGTCTGTGCTTCCTGGCAGGTGAGGGTGCTTCCGGCTTTGTGCAGTTCCCTTGTATTCTGCCTTGACCTAGAGGTAGACCCACCTAGAGGTACTTTTAAGTGGCTGCTCTCTCTATCTACTATGTCGGTATTTTTGGAATTTCCCTTTTCCCCTGTAGGTAATTTCTTATGATGGTAAATAATTCTTTATTTATTCTTGTTTGAGTTACTATATAGTTTCTGTCTATTTGAGTCCTGACTGTTTCAGTATGATCCTGACATCAGGGCTAGCAAGTGACTGCCCCCGGGTTGGCCTTGAACTGCAAGTAACTGGTTTGCCTCTGATTTGGGCCCTTTGCTCTAGCGCCACTCTCGGGTTCCTTAGCCGAGACCTCCCTCCTGAAGTCCCAGTAGGTTTTGCTGGCCCAGTTGCCATGCCCCTCCTCTGAAACCCGTGTTTCTCAGCACATGGTGGGAAGACCATCTGCAGAGTCACCGGGGGAATGCCTATAAAAATGGAAGATTTTAGGCCCCATCAAGATTCTGAGTCAGCACGTGTGGGGCAGAACCCTGCATTTGGCATTTTTAACAGTGCCTGGTTTCAATTTGCAAGAACCTTCAAGAGTTCTGCCTTTTCCGGCTGCCTGCCTTCTCCAGGTGATCCCTTTTCCACTCCGCAGTTATCTCATCCCCTGGATGGCAAAACTGATCAATATTTTACGTGTCGGTAGCTCTTAGAAATGACTCTGGGCGAGTCACACACTGCAGCCTACTTTCAGTTGCCTATTTTCACAGCAGACTCTTGCCCAGTGTTCCCTGTTTGAATCATGTGCCACTTGTGGAGCGCCTGCTGCTGAATTCCTGAGAAAACCCAATCCAAGGAAAATAATGGCACATCAAGCTAATAGCTCTCTGCGAAGGTGTTGCAGAGGGAAGTTCCCAGCCCGTGTCTCACGGCCCAAGGCTCAGCGGTTCCCAGCTTGAGGAGGGAGGGTGGGACAGGAACCTGCCAACTCCGCAGCGTGTTTGTGTGGAGCCTTTCAAGTCTTGGCCGACTTTAAACAACGCAGAGAGAGGATGCTTCCCAGACTCCACTCAGGAACTCCTCCTGCTCCCTGCCCAGCACGACTGCAGACGCTGCCAGAGATAAAGTCTTCCAGAAACCGCAGTGTAAACCATGTGAGGCTCAATTAAAGAACAGCCTACTTGGGTGTGGAATTGTGGAGAGCAGACAAAAATCTGGGACGGGAGAGATCACTAGAGGTTACAGTCATCAACGAAGGCTTTATGGCGAACAGAGAGCTATGCCAAGGCTCTAAAGTATTTGGCATTCAGAAGGCCCAAAGGTATTCTGATGGTTACATTACCCCTGAAAAAGAGCAGGCAACATTTATCGACTCATTCTTAATGATAAAAAAAAGGCAAATAAAACACTACTTAACATTTATTGAGAGTGTCTTGCTTGCCAAATGCTATGCTAATTACTTACATGCTGATCTGATTTTCAGAACGACCTTATGATGTAGGTGTATAAATATTAGCCCCCGTTTACAAAGAGATAAACTGAACCATGATGCCATCATCCCACTGCAAATGCAAATACATGGCAGAGTGAGAGCTCATTAGGAAAGACAGGACTGTTCCTGGAATGATATATGGAGCCATCTCCTGGGACCACATAGCTGGTGTTTGTTTTTTGTTTTTGTTTTTCAATGACTTCAAAAGTGAAGGGTTGGTAGCAATATAATACAGTATGGAATATGGGAATTCTCTGTACTTTCTGCTCAATTTTCCTGTAAATCTAAAACAGACGTTAAATATACAGTCTATTAAGAAAGACAATTAATAGAAAATATCCAAACACAAAGAGAAAAAAAGATGGAAAACTTAATGGAGGCTCCTGGCAGTACGGCTGAATAATACAACTCAATTCTGGCTAAATTAGAACAAACATAAAGAGTGGCCACAAAGTCCCTGTGAATGCTAGCTTGAAGTTGTGTGTATGGCTCCTCTGCTCTCTGCAGAAATTAAAAATTTTCCCTTTGTTCTATCATATATCAATTAGCTTACATGATACCGTACCTAGAAGAAATGTAAAACAAGTACCCAAACTCCCACAAAGTGAATCTGTAACTACTCTATAAAATTTAATGCAAGGCTAGAGTCATAAAAAATAATATCTCCAAGGGCAAAACAATAAACCAAACCAAAGGGGTGAAAAAAGTGTAAGAAAATGAAATCAGAGCTAGAAGCAGTTAGCAGTAAGAAAATAAGAAATCAGTGGTTGCTCCTTGGGGGAAACACAGGACCAGCGTTTGGAGCAGGAGAGTGACTCGGAATCATTACAAGGTGTGAGAACTGAGCCTGGGACTCCTGCATGGAGTCAGGTACCTCCAGTGGAGTGAGAGTGGTGTCGGGTTGGTAAAGTTCCCAGGCTGCCAACAGACAGAAGCAAAAAATTTATCTCTGAAGAGGAACATCCCCATTTAGCCCTCAGGACTCTCTCCAGATTAAAATCAATCAAATAGGATTTCAAAATAAAAATACCAACACAATGCCCTGACCGGTTTGGCTCAGTGAATAGAGCATCGGCCTGCGGACTGAAGGATCCCAGGTTCGATTCTAGTCAAGGGCATGTACCTTGGTTGCGGGCACATCCTCCGTGGGGAGTGTGTGGGGGGCAGCTGATCGATGTTTCTCTCTCATCGATGTTTCTAACTCTCTATCCCTCTCCCCTCCTTTCTGTAAAAAATCAATAAAATATATTTTTTTAAAAATACCAACACAAAAGAAAATAAACCACTTTGAATGAGAGTCTGGAGAAATACAACCAATAGATTTAGACTCCTAAGAATTTCAGATTATGAGAATCACCAGATATGGAATATAAAATGCCCATGTGTGCAATACCTCCATAAAATTTTAAAACTGAATTCGAAAAATGAGCAAGCATTATGAAACTATCAAGAATGACCAGGCAGATTTAAACAAGAACCCAACTGAAACAGCGGTCGCCAACCTT